TTGGCTGTATCTGGCCGGCAATTTAGCTTGTATGCATTCACTTTTAGGGTGCGTTATGTTCGGAGGAAGACGGTGGCTTTCCGGTCAGGTAGGGAGGGTTACGTGGGGGTGTCTTGTGCTCGGCGGAATGCCTGAAGTTTAATTTCAAACTGTCTTTGCGACGGTACTGGAGTTACCCCTTCTTTAAGCCATCGTAGCAGAATCACGCAGATGCTTTAGATGCTTTATTAGAACAGTGTGGAGACGGGAGAAACATAATGTAAGTCCTCTCATGCCATCAATCTGTCTGAGCTTGTTATGCATGCTGGACTCCTGTCTTGCTACTGGGCCTAGTTGGCACTACTCGCCAGCCACCAACGTTTTGAACGCATAACACCACACAGATTCATTCAGAATTTTGGCAAATGGTGAGTCGTGCAAGTTGCAACTACGCCCCTGATAATGAGCAGAAAATATATAATTAGCGTACCAGGCCATCTTTGTTTTCTGGAGCCAGCCATTTGTGGTAACTGCTTCTTCAACCGAATAAAACGCACGGCGCCTGTGATTGGGGAAGTTATTAGCCTAGATGCCGCGATAAGGACCGTGAGAGTTCTATTCGGGTGAGGAGGATCCCGCTGCTCGCTCACGGCGCTAGCGTGAGGAGATGGCGTTGCGGTGGTTGTTTCCATTTCTTCAGCAACGGAGGCGGAAAGCAGCAAGCCCCCCCTCCCACCCATCGCTCACACACTAATTAGGAGCCTTGCTGATTACCACAGTCCCTCTACAGAGGTGGAGGGACTATCATCGGTCAGCTGACTACCACTCATCTGCTCTATGCACAGTTCATCCATCAAAGCTCTCTTTCTGGAGCCACATACAACTTTTCTTTTGTCTTAGCTCTGCTGCAAGTATTACCGAACTCATCGATCACAAACACGCCTTGCTATGTCGCCCAACGAGAGCAACCAAAAACGTTTGGCGTGGGCCGTCCACCAATTATCCTCAATGTTTTCCTGATCACGTCGTGAGTGTGTGTGTGTGTGTGGCTATGGATGGGTGGGCGGGTCGACGGGTGGATGGGTGTATGTACGCGAGGGGGGCGGGGGATAGAGAGGGGAGGAGGAGGGGGACGGGGCGGAGATGGGCACATAGGTGTGTTCTTATGCAACCTCACTGTCTGATCCCAGAGGAGGACTATAGAGTCTAACCAGAAGGTATGAACGACTATAGAGAGTGCATGGCGCAGAGTAATGCTTAATTAAGAGAGTGCACGAGTGTCCAGCACAGATGCAAACACTTGGTCTGGTCGGGGTACCCGCTCGCTACTACCCGGTCTGTTCCTTGATCTTCTATCAATCCATCATAAAATTATAGTTCCCGGGGACGTAACAAGAAAACTATTTGCCAACGGAAACGCGCATTTTGGAGCGTCAGATAGTTCCGCTTGTATTTCAGCGGATGTGGGGGGGGGGGGAGGTCTGGTTGTAAATCGAGCTGCAAGACTCAGCCCTCCTCTCTCAGCTTCATTGTGCGCTTTCTGCCAGCATGTGCGGATGCGCTCACAATTGGTAATAATTTGGAATCGAGAGCAGTCGACCACAAATGAGACAAGAGGGCGAAAAAAAGGTCCGGCAGAAAATCGGAGCGGACCTTTTCTTGCCGGCTTTAAGAGCCTGTTTGGCTAGTCGTGTTTATTTGCTGGGCTACACCATCCAGCGGCTGCGAGTGTGGCGAATCAAGGAGATGCTTCCAAGTGAATTGCGCCTACGACGACGATACACTGTATCACACAATTCCTCACTCAACACCAAAGCGACACAGTCATCAATCTTCTCTCTCTCTCTCTCTCTCTCTCTCTCTCTCTCTCTCTCTCTCTCTCTCTCTCTCTCTCTCTCTCTCTCT